ACTACTAAAAGTAGATGAACTACATTATTCAACAGTTTACAGTAACTTCTGATAACAACTCAGGGGAAATAAACGAGGCATCTCTTTTCCTCTGTCTCTCTCCCCCCCTCCTGGCAGCCCGTCAGTATCAGGGTTAGTCAAAATGAATCCCTTGGCGGTTTTAGTGTTCATTTACCGTTTTGTCTTCTCTTTGCTTAATCGATTGGAAACCAAGTCTAACGTAGCTTTGACTTAACGTTAGCTTTCTAGCTAACACAACACATGCACGCACCTTTCTCTGTGGGTTTGTTGTAGTGACGAATGAAGTTGGATGTTGTGGTGGTCGTGTCACTGATCTTTATGCTGCAGACCCTGCATACCGCTGTTCTCTTCTTATTACCGTCATCGACAAAATAATCCTTGAATCCAAACTTCACTATTTGTGGAGTAACGCTAGCCGCTGCCATGTTAACAGAGACTCCTGGGTTGCGTTCCGATAATCCAAAAATCAGCTCCTAACGTCTATCCCTATCGTCTATTCCTTGACCTCTGAGTGAAACGTCACGGGGTTAAGGGATAGTGGATAGGAGAATTCAAAAGGACTTAGGAGAAGAGACCGCGGTACTTTAGAGAATCCGACTGCACTTACACTATCCGACGTGTTTATGATGCGCCAGCGGACGTCATGAATGTGCGTCTGCTGCTGTGGGGAAACTATGGAAACTACAGTTTTCTATACAGCGGACTACAACATGGATGTTCAATAAGAACGAGGGACTACTGTAAACTCATCTAGAGACTCTGCACCGTGCTCTGATGCTGTTGCTTTATGCTTTATGAACGTGGACAACAGAGAAACATATTCTTCATGACCAAAGTTGGAATTGAAATAAAAAAGGAAAGTGAAACTTATGCTTGTCACCCTCTCCCTCCGGTCCACATTAATACAAATGATCCCAATACGTATGATTGTATGAAAAGATCTTAAAATCAATACAAATGTATTTATTATAAACGTTAGTCCTTAACATCTATCACTGTGTATATCACCATTCAAACATCTTTTAAAAGTTGAACAACCCCACACAGCTCAGTGAAATGTTGACTTTATTTGATCATTTCAGTAAAAACTAACGTTCATATTTCTCTCTTTGATTATAATACTGATGAACGTTCAAAACAAAGCACTTTGGCAACTTACCACATACGTTTTAAAATGCTTAATAAGCACAGTAACTTTCATGATATCATTTCTCGGTCATAATCGGTTGTTTCCCTGAACGGCCGACTGTTGAGTGACGGCAAATGCTGCGGCTGCAATGCATTGTGGGGCAGCATTTTCTCCTCTCCTTTCAGTTAGGGAGGTCCAGTGGTTCCTAAGCTAAAGGAGGTTATAAAGGAAGTTTGAAACCTCCTTTCCTATCATCTAGAGAATTGGAACGACACTTATCATGGCTGCCACTGAGGGACTTCCGGGTCATTTCACTCCATTAGGAAGGTTCCTAAGCTAAATGGACTATTGGAACGCAACCCTGCCTTCTAGTGGGTTGCCAGGTTTGCGCGCATGGCGCTATAATCACGTTTTTCGAAAAAACTAAACGTAATATCGCACTACAAAAACAAACGCAAATATTTAATTTTAAACAGTCAAGTCCTTTCAAGTCATCTGTCTCAAGCTTAAGTCAAGTCTCAAGTCATGAATACCAAGTCAAAGTCAAATCTTTTATCAATGTTAGTCAAGCAAGTCTCAAGTAAAAAAATATGCGACTCGAGTCTGACTCGAGTCAAGTCATGTGACTCGAGTCCCCACCTCTGCTGAGTAGCCAATGGGGACGCACCCCTGAAAGTCCCGCCCACCTGGGATGTTTGTGTCAGAATCTCAAACAAAAAATGAGGGAGCGCAAAAGAGAAGAGCTGCAGCGAGAGCAAAAGTCTGATCTTTGAGAAAGAAGAAACAAGAACTGCAAACAAAAACCTATGTTAAAATGAAGAAAAAAGACTTATAGTTTACATGATTACACAAATGATTTGTTTGCAACTTATAGTTTTATTTTTGAAATTTATTTTATTTTGCTTGACTCGGTTTTTTTCTCTTTTAAACTCATAGTTTTGCTTTATTCTGAGAAAGTGTTGCTTTATCTTTATGATACAAAACTAATCCCATAGTTAAAAAGGATTACCTGATCTGTGAAATAAAAATTACATTTTTTTTAAATTCAAGACTTTGTCTCTGGGTCGTGCATTTGGTTTCATCAGTTTGTGTGGAGATCCTGACAGAGAGCAGTTGATTTATTGACACGCTTCCATCCCTGGTTTGTGTTTGTTCTCGGGTAACAGCCAGAGTTTAAAGTGGTCTCTGATATTAAATGGAGCCTGACTTTATTCTCCCTGTTGGAGCTAGACGTTGGCCTGAGCATCTTTGCTCAACAGGTTGGTGGAATATGCTGCAGGGACAAGCTGTTTGTTTGACCAGGCCTGGAAAATGGTCACAACACTGCAATACGATCCAAGTATGCCTGTCCTGTCCATGAGTTCTTTCCATTCACTTTGGTTAATAGCTAACTTTTCCACCAGCTGCTTCAATGCGCCCCTCTTTTATTGACTCACTGAAGGGAAGTCATCAGGGAACCATGAGGGCTGTTCTGTTCTTCACATACTCATTTGATGTTTTTAGCCAGTGGTTCTAGACTAGTTGGTTAAAATAAATGAATATTTGGCTTGATTTGACAAATGAAACAGTTGATAGTGCTTTTTGGGATAAGAGTCAAACAGCAGGATTTCAGCTGACAGGACTTTTGCTCGCTCCTGGACACCTAAACGAAATGTAACTCCAACTCTCAGAGCGGTCATCTTTATTGCATTTTGTCAGACTTTCTTTGCTTTTATTTTCATGGCTGTCAGTTCAGTCATTGTGGGGTGAGCAGGTTCAGAGCAGAGGTGATTCCAACAAGGAGTCTTTAACAAAGCAGACAGACGACTTAGGGCTTCTCTGCTCGTCTGTCAGAGTCCAGGCCCGGGGCCAGCGCTGGATGTCATTGGGACAGAGAGAATCCTGATATTACATTTTTCAATCTGGAATTCCTTTTCGTCTGAAGCGTAAATGCCTTTAAATCGAGAGAGCCAGCAGATGAAACCACAACAGCAATTTCCTGTTATCCTTGAGGGATTCTTTGCCCTTCTTGTTCACTGACATTTATTACAATATGTAGCTTTACGCTTAAAGCTACATATTTGCTGTTATCCCCACAAAGATGAGGCCAGGCACAGTGGACCCCATTGAATTTGGGGCATTTTTCTGACTGCATTGTCTGGAATAGACAATGCAGTCAGCAGGAAAACTGTGTTTTCTGACACCTTTGTAACAGAACCAGCATTAAATGTTTCAGTAATGTGAGCTCTTCTGTTGGATCGGACCACACGGGCCAGCCTTCACTCCCCACGCCCATCAATGAGCCTTGGTCACCCATGACCCTGTCGCTGGTTCACCGGTTTTCCTTCCTTGGACCACTTTTGGTCGGTACTGACCACTGCAGACCGGGAACCCCCCACAAGAGCTGCAGTTTTGGAGATGATCTGACCCAGTTGACTAGCCATCAAAATGTGGCTCTTGTCAAAGTCCCCTCATCCTCACGCTTGCCCATTTTTCCTGCTTCCAAAACATCAGCTTTGAGGACAAAGTGTTCACTCGCAGCCTAACATATCCCACCCACTGACAGGTGCCATTCTAACAAGGAAATCCCTGTTCTTCTCTTCACCTGTCCGTGGTCATAACGTTATGGCTCATCGGTGTATATCCACCATAAAGAAATGAGACCAGTGGGTATCCAACCACTGAAACGTTATCATCTGTGCATTGTATAAAACTCAGATCAATAAACCTGAGAAGAGAGGATTGGGAAAGCTCCAAATAAACCTGAAATTAACAGTTTTTTACTGGCATTGGTTTTCATATAATACATTAGTTTACATCTACAAACCTACAAACACATTCTGTATAAAATGCCAAATATTCAATTGATTACTGGGAAATGATGTATAGACTTTCAAGTACCCAGATGATGTACGAGCTGGTGACCCACTCACCTTTCCACTAGCAGGCTGACATGTGTATGTCGTATGTATCGACAACTCCTGGTTTGCACTGGAAGTTGGACATTCATGATCTCTTTATGATAATCTCTTACAACTTTGATGATCCATGAATAATGAAATTCCCATCAGCCCCGTTTGTACTTCCTAATGCTAGCAAAAGTGAACACATTGAAATGCTGAAAATGTTCATCAGCATGTTCATATTGCCATGAACATATGAAATGTGTGCCGACACTAAAACAAAGGTATCCAGCTGTAAACAGGGAGAGCTGCTTGCAGTCGGATTGATCCTGTAACGGTAGCAGGGGGTGTTCTCTCGGATCTTCTGCACTGGAAGCTATAATACTCTTCCAGCATGGGGGTTAGGAGGATTCAGGGAGAATAAAGACGGAACACTGTAACTTGATCCAGTGGTCTCCTGTTACTCACCTAAAAACTGATTACAATACACTCTAACTGCTGTGTATTTCCCACAGGTTTCCCCTGACCTTGCTGCAGCATTGAGAATACACATCTTCTGTGTCACATGCACTGAGTTTCAACCTGAGTTGTGATACTATCTAGGATAGGATGTGTGATTTGATTGGAGACTTATGAGTGATCCCACAGTCTGACTGGTCAACAGGCACAAGGGCGTGCAGACATGTGGTGTTCCAAGCATGTCAGCACACACGTGCCGGCCTGTTTGTGTAAGGGACTGAAAAGAACTTGTGATAAGACTTTAGAGGGAAACAGAGTGTGTAGATAACTGAAGGCACAACTGACCTTCAGTTATCTACACACTCTGTTTCCCTCTGCTTTGCTTTGATAGATTTCACAATGATCAAGCCATGCAGTCTATTACTATCTCAGAATCCCTATCTGGATTGCTGTAAATGTGTCCTGAGTATCTGAACATACATCAGAGGTGTGCTGCAGTATTTAACCTTCGCCTCACAGAAGACTGCTGAGTAAGCGTGAAGCACTCAGAGCAGCTCTGCTCTCTTTTTCAGAGGCAATAAAAACAATCTCTTTTGTTCGCTCGAAGAGTCAAGACTCAAAGATTCAAGGCTTGATCACATGCACTTTTACCCAATGTGGTTCCTTAAGGTTTCTAAGACATGTGGATGCAATCCAAACTGATAACCCCTCACTGTGTGTGTCTCCTGCAGCGTGGGTGGGCTCCCTCTCCATGGGGATGATCTTCTTCTGCTCTCCCATCGTCAGCGTCTTCACTGACATCCTCGGCTGCAGAGTAACGGCAGTGGGGGGGGCAGCTGTTGGGCTGGTTGGCCTGCTGGCCAGCTCATTTGTCACGTAAGGAAGAAATTAAGATTTTCAAATGTGTGTCCTCACTTCATAAAATATACATGACCCTCACTCCTTCAAGTTTAATGGGAAGTGAGTAACTTGGGTTGTCAGATTGATGTCATCCTTCTTAGTTCCTATACTGTATATTGACTGATTCTTAAACTTTGGTCCCGTTTTGAGACACTCGTATGTGACATATAATCACCTTTTATTAGCTGCTTATTGCTTCTCCTGTGTGTGTGTGTGTGTGTGTGTGTGTGTGTGTGTGTGTGTGTGTGTGTGTGTGTGTGTGTGTGTGTGTGTGTGTGTGTGTGTGTGTGTGTGTGTGGGTGTGTGTGTGTGTGTGTGTGGTGTGTGTGTGTGTGTGTGTGTGTGTGTGTGTGTGTGTGTGTGTGTGTGTGTGTGTGTGTGTGTGTGTGTGTGTGTGTGTGTGTGTGTGTGTGTGTGTGTGTGTGTGTGTGTGTGTGTGTGTGCGCGCGCTGCTGAGCGTGTCTTCATACTTGTATCAAGTCTCAGTGGGTAAGAGGCTCTGCACCTCACACTTAGTTGTTCATCATTTCCTGGAATCCCTTATGTCTACACGTGGGGGGACACACTCACACTCACATACAGAAATGTGTGATCCCAACAAGGCTGCAAGTGTTCAACCCTTACTTTATCACTCGTAGGTGCAATAAACAAGTAATAAAGCGGTTGAATTACTGCTTATCAATTTGCTGTCAAAAGCGTTCACAACCCCCTCACAGTTCTGCAGCGGGTAAGGTGCAACATTTCTTAGTCATGTGATTTCACTGCTAAGATTTATTTACCCCTAACAGGACTTTCTAACCACTTGAACCCACCACCCTGTATTTATTTGGACCTTCTCCACCAGACCCAAATCACTTATATTGTGCTGTTCGATGTCCTTTGCCATTGTTGAAAAGCCAAGTGGACAAAAGTCACACTCGTGAAATCAATGGGCTTCCTGCTGGCAGAGTTACAGATTCATGTCTTCAGGAAGTCTTCCTCAGATCAAAATCCCCTTTTACTACATCAAAAGACAATTCAGTTATAGAGGGCTAAAAACACATTTACAAAGCTCTAATCTGCAGAATGGTTGATGGCATACAAGATGTTATTGTCAGCATTACATAAACATTGCTGTGCTCATTTGGAACATTTTTTTTCACACTTGTTTCTGTATAGAGTAAAGAGCAGGGGGCCTAATGTTAATATTAATGGGACACCTATATCAACCACCTGGGGACTGGCACTAAATAGCTTCAGAAAGAAGCAGTAGCCTCAGTTTTGTCGGCCTACAATTTATACAGCCTTTGAATGTGCACATAATGAAATAGCAAGGACAAACCATAATAAAACAATTACTGCTGGAGCTTCCCTGGAGCACACACACTGGAGTCTTTGACCTTTACAACATGTATCATTGTTTGTTACAGCTATGACAACTTATTAAAATCAAAATGGCTAAGACAGTGATGTAACTTGTGTGTGTGTCTTCGTCCCCCCACAGGTCCCTGGGCCCCCTGTATTTCACCTATGGCATTGTGTTCGCCTGTGGCTGCTCTTTCGCCTACCAGCCCAGCCTGGTCATCCTGGGCCACTACTTCAAGAAGCGGCTGGGTCTGGTGAACGGCATCGTGACGGCGGGCAGCAGCCTCTTCACCATCACGCTGCCCTTCGTGCTGTCGGGTCTGCTGGAGCGGGTGGGCCTGCAGAACACCATGAGGGTCCTCTGCATCCTGATGTTTGTGCTGATGCTGGCTGGCTTCACCTACAGGCCCCTGCTGCCCGTCAAACCCGGCAACACCCGCACCGGCAGCCGCTTCCCCCCCATGAGCAAGATGTTCAACATTCATATCTGGAAGTCTTTGGGATATCGCATTTGGGCCTTCGGTATCCCAGCAGCCCTCTACGGCTACTTTGTGCCTTATGTTCACCTGGTGAGTTTGTTCTGCTCTCCTCTCTCTGTGCTGCACACACACTGTGTCTTTCTGTGTTGTTGCTGGGTATCATTGCCACACTCTCTGGGCTAAAGGTCACTGATGATGAAAAACAGCACATCAATGCCAATAGAGGAATACCATGGTGTGATTTCTCAGTATCCTTATCCCGTCTTTTGGATGTGTTTATTGGCACAAGGAAGGAATTAGGGTTACCAAACGAGGGAGCTCCAACAACACAGATGTCAAAAAACCACACTAGCAACCTGAGATTTATGAAAGTGAAAGATGAGAGGAGGAGAAGTCTAAGCCCCAGCCTGCAGGCATTCAACCATGGTACGGAGTGTTACCGTGAGACGTGTACCTCAGAATTCAGGAAAAGTCTCTGTCCATTAGGAATAACTTTGTAAGAAAAAGACACTTTGAAATCTTTTATGCAAGAAACAAAGCATGATACCTCTGTTCTTATTTCATGAGCTGATAGTCAGATAAGAAACTTCATTTACATAACATTTTAAGCTAAAGAATACCTCACAATTATGTATGTGATCCTTGATAATGCCATCTCCAAGTCTGGAATCAAAATCCAGAGTTTCATTTACTAAATACAGAAATACTGTTTGTCGGTCGTGTAAAAGCTAGCTATTCTCATTGCTTGTTACCACAAGAGGCGGGGATTTTTTTAATTTGGGTTGAATAACCCATAACAGTTTTCATTTTGAAGTGACCTAATGTCCTCACAGTGTGCAGACGGTCAGCCTGCAGGCCTCTCATGAGTCTCAGTGTTTCTACGTCACAGCAGCAGCAGGTACTGATCTGTGTTCTTCTGATCAAATAACCAAATATGACAGGAAGGCTCAACCTGCAGCCAGGACCCAGCTCTGTAAACAGGTGTCACTTTCCCTAAACCTCCCTTCATTTGGCCCATTGGATGGGAACATATGATATTGGAGAGACATGTTGGGAGGGCTGGGCAGCCGAGCTGGGGGGCTCAGGAGGTGACTGTTTAACTGGACATGATGACTCTGTTATGGTCCCAATGACGTGTTTTCCTGACACTTCTCATGTGTCTGCTACTCAGACTGGGACACCACAGGGCCTCAGCTGCAGCCTCAACACCACCCATGGTTTTATAGCTCCAGCACCCGACACACAGCCCCACCCCTGCAGGCCTGGCCTCTGTCTTGTGACACTGCATGGGAAGGAGAAGAAGGAAATAACATGTGGTGTCAAACAGCATATTGTTCAGCTTTTCAGGAAGTCTGTCCTTTGTTTGGGTGCAATGCTCACGCCTTCTCTGCATTAGAAATGCTGAGTGCAGCCTTTTCGAGACTTCCCCCCCACACAGGTCTTTACAAACCAAGCAGCGCGTATGGGAAGAATGCAAAAGTGTAGTCAAATCTAGGTTGTTCGCACACACAAACACACACACCTGCCCATTATTTTCCGAGTATTGTTGATTTAAGATGTTGCCTTCAGGTACGGCCTTGTTCAGACTGAAGGGCCTTGCCACACCTCTCACATGTTGAAGAACGGCACATGAGCTCGTCATTCCGCCCTTCTTTCAGTGAGTTTGTATCAGTAATCAGAACGGTATTGTTTTAGAAAGCTGCCTCTTCTTTCGAGAGGTTTTGTTTCAGTGTTTAGTGAGGAGCCCCGGCAAGCTGGAGTCGGTGGAGGGTTCAGTGACCATTAAACAGCTAAGCAGAGAGAACAGCACAGTGGGGCTCTGAAAGATAAATTAATCAACCCCAAAACACAGACTATTAAAGCAGCCTATGTGTGTTTCACAGCAACTACATGTTTTCTTTCCTGCTGACAGTTCACAGTAGGAGAATCCCATGTGTATATAATATCACTGTTTACACCTGTGTTGGACTGCGCGGAGAGAGAACTCTTGTCAAATTCTATCATGTAAAAAAGACCCAAACCAACATTGAATAGGTCCTACCAACAAGTACTGTCACTGTAGTTCAGGCGTGTACTTTAGGTCAATGGTTTTATGGGAAATGTATGCAGTGGTTGAGTGTTGCAGAAATGCCCAGCTTAGTACTGAGAAAACCAGTTTGTGGACAGCATGCCTGTGTCTTTCTGTGTGAGAGAGTTCATTTATTCTTTTATTTTGTATGTTTAAGCTCTTCTTTGCCACACGACTAGCTGAGTTGCATCATATGTGAGTGTATTCCTAAAAGCTTGATAAAAGACACACCCTCAAAAAACTAACAGTTAATAAATCCTATTACACAGTAAGTGCCACAGGTGTTGTCATGTTTCAGTGCACAACAATGGGAGGTGATAGTGAGAGTAGTGTATGTAGACACACTGATTGCTGCATGGCTTGATCTAAAGCTGTCACGATCTCTCTCAAGTCCTCTCTCGAGTCCCTACTCAAGTCCCTACTGAAGTGCCGTTGGAGGTTCCGCTGGGGGTCCTGCCAACTCCATGTCCTGTCCCGTTGGGGGTCCCGCCGACTACTCTCCTGCCGGGGGTCCTGCCAACCCTATGTCCTGTCCCGTTGGGGGTCCCGCCGACTACTCTCCTACCGGGGGTCCTGCCAACCCTATGTCCTGTGCCGTTGGAGGTCCCGCCGACTACTCTCCTGCCGGGGGTCCTGCCAACCCTGTGTCATGTCCCGTTGGGGGTCCCGCCAACGACTCTTCTGCCGGGGGTCCTGCCAACCCTATGTCCTGTGCCGTTGGAGGTCCCCCTTGATCTGATGATCATTGCACAGCGCACTGCGCCACACCGTCCATCTTCACGCCTCGAGGTCATCGAGGCGCTTTTACAAGTACACATTGGTATTATACATGTACTGTGGACAATACCCACAGGAGCAAATCCGGGTGAAGTGTCTTGCCCAAGGACACAACGGCCTGACGCAGTGGCGGGTTTCGAACTGGAGTTCCCCAGCACTCCCCCTTGATCTGATGATCGGATGCACAGACCACTGCGCCACCCGTCCCAATGTCTTCCTGTCTCTGCCTCAAACATCCAGAAGTGTTTACACAGCCACTACGACTGAGAGATAACCTGCTCCGGCACTGTGAGGAACTGATCACCGGCGTGTGAGTGTGTGTTTGTTTGTGTTGCTGGGCAATGACATCTGTTATCTTAACTGTAGCTGGCAGATGCAGTTATATTGCCTTTCCATTGCTCGTCTGCATAAAGCTGATCAGTAGGAATGTGTGTGAGCAATAGTAAGCCATTTCTCCCAGTATGAATGTTTCATTTTAAGTCGAATTTAACCGGTGAATAGATTTTATTTTAAAACATAGCGTTACAATTTCCATAACTGGAGTGAGATCATGATACTGGAATATCATTTTAAGTAATTCATGATTTTCTGGTTAAGAAAAGTGATCAAAAACCAATGCCTCCAGCATTGCTTCTTGGAGCAGGACCTTTCTGAACAGAGCATGCTGTTGTGGCATATTGACAAAATGATAAATCATAGAGTGGTCTCTGCAGATGGATGTGGGGGAGGGGGGGTGTCCTGTTGCTGCTTGTGGACCTAGAAGTAGCTCCACAAAGCGGGCCCTTCTTTTCTCACTGGCTCTCAAACTCAGGGCCTCTCAGACTGGGACTCTGGAGACACATACAGCAAGTAACATGTGAAAAGCATCTGGGCTGCCTTCCTAACAGTCTGCAGTGGAATCTAACAGCGGCTGCACACAGAGGAGATAAGGTGGCATGTGTTGGATAACAGTTCTGATAACAGTTCGGACAACACACTGCTGCCGGACAGCAGTGTGTTGTCCGAGTTAGCCCTCACACTTCCAAACACTCAAGAGCTCACAGACATAAACAGCCTGTCTTCTGATAAATGCATGCACAACAGTGAGCATCCCATGCAAGAGAATGGTCTTCAGCATGCACTGTAATGTCAAATGTGGGCCTGTGTACAATCTGAGAAACACCGCTTCCTTCACAAAACAGCATAATTTTAACTAAGAGAGATTCAGTTGGATTTCAGATTCTCCTAAAAAACTAAATCATGTTGAACGCCCTCAAACCACACAAACCACCATTTTTTTAAATATGATATGAATGAATCAGTGCAGAAAAACGAGGTTCAAATTCAAGATTTTAAGGTTTCTTGTCATTACATATAGACAACTACGGTGTAGGTATGTAATGAATGAAAAACTCAGATTGCAGGTTCCTCAACACTGCAATTTACAAGATAAAAACCAGGCCGTGATGCAGCCAGTCAGGATCCTCTCTATGGTGCACCTGTAGAAGGTCAGGATCCTCTCTATTGTGCACCTTTAGAAGGTCAGGATCCTCTCTATTGTGCACCTGTAGAAGGTCAGGATCCTCTCTATTGTGCACCTGTAGAAGGTCAGGATCCTCTCTATGTTGCACCTGTAGAAGGTCAGGATCCTCTCTATGGAGCACCTGTAGAAGGTCAGGATGCTCTCTATGTTGCACCTGTAGAAGGTCAGGATGCTCTCTATGGCGCACCTGTAGAAGGTCAGGATGCTCTCTATGGTGCACCTGTAGAAGGTCAGGATCCTCTCTATGGTACACCTGTAGAAGGTCAGGATCCTCTCTATGGTGCACCTGTAGAAGGTCAGGATCCTCTCTATGGTGCACCTGTAGAAGGTCAGGATACTCTCTATGGAGCACCTGTAGAAGGTCAGGATGCTCTCTATGGAGCACCTATAGAAGGTCAGGATCCTCTCTATGGTGCACCTGTAGAAGGTCAGGATCCTCTCTATGGAGCACCTGTAGAAGGTCAGGATCCTCTCTATGGAGCACCTGTAGAAGGTCAGGATGCTCTCTATGGTGCACCTGTAGAAGGTCAGGATCCTCTCTATGGTGCACCTGAAGAAGGTCAAGATGCTCTCTATGGTGCACCTGTAGAAGGTCAGGATCCTCTCTATGGTGCACCTGTAGAAGGTCAGGATCCTCTCTATGGTGCACCTGTAGAAGGTCAGGATCCTCTCTATGGTGCACCTGTAGAAGGTCAGGATCCTCTCTATGGAGCACCTGTAGAA